GCGGCAGCCCCTTGGGTGCCAGCCCCTTGGGCGGCCCCTGTGGCGTCTGGGCACCTGGTTTCGAGCGTCAGTGAAGAACCGGGAAGGAGAAACTTCTTTGACTTAGTGCGATTGAACAAGCAAGCCCCAATTTTGCAATGCGGCCTGATGTAACTTATCAACTAGCCAAGAATAAATTCGACGGATTTCGATGGCATGTTGAAATATATGTTGAAGATAGATGTTTCTTTGTCCATTCTTCTCTACCTCGATCGTCGTCACAACCTGCAGTCGCTCTCAACCTGTGTCCATAGCTCTCTGCGATCGAGGCGGCCGTTCCAGTTCCACAGGTGGGGCTGGGTGGGCATAAGCCTATCCAGATCACCCCATGTGTGGAACATATGCCCAGACCTTCCACTCGTGACCTCTTCAGGATTTGTATACGTGACCTGAAATCAAGGCCGTTTTGTGACGTCAACCACTGGGATTTCGTGACGGTCACTGGAAAGGTCGTGCCTAGATTCGCCTAGATTGACCCCTTTTCAACAACAGGAGGGTCCTGGTAAACCCCGTTTTGTTTGCTCAAACAGGTCCGGCCTCGTCAGACAGGCAGGCATTCTGTTGAGGGCGAACATGAACATCACTCGTAGAATGATAGAGCATCACTCCTGCACCTCCCTAGCCTTCAGTTCGACCATGAAAAAATGGGACAGACCATGGTTTTGTAGTGTCAAGTCCTGAACAAACCAATATAAAACAATGGTTTTTGGGATTCAGACCATTAAACCCTAAGGGCTGGTGGACCCCCAGGGCATCTGACATGTGACCTGTGTCTCCGGATGTCTCCCCCGCCTATCCAGGGACATGACTGACGTCAAAACGCAGCATCCGCGCGCGGACGTCTCCGGACGGATGTTTTGTTCCCAGACTGGGTGAGGGGCCTGGGGGAGCCCCCTGAAAACGATGGAAGACCATAGACCAGTCGCTTTAGTTGGGTGCCTGCCTCGGCCCGGGACCATGGGATCGTTTCCGGGAGCAGTGTAGATGTCGTTTTGCCGGCTCCTGGACAGCAAATCCAAGTCGTGTGAGTGGTCGTTGCTGTCTACAGAAAACAGAAGCACCCTGCCCATTGGTGCAGGCACCTGGTGGCGTTTTCGTCCGAGCTGCATGAGAGGCTTGAAACGATGGTCAAAGAAGGTCCGGGTGTGTTTAAAACGGAAGGGTGTTATGTAATATATAAGTTATATGTTAGTGTGTTTCCTCCTTGGAAGAATGCCAACACTAGTCAGAGCTAGCCAGATCCAGTGTGTTTTTTGTTTCTTTTGAGCTTCACACTTATTTGTCCGTGATTGCACCATCGCGCTTTGTGCAAAGAATGCATTCAGGCAGTGGAAAGCTGGGATGTGTGGCGGGCAAAAAGAGTTGAGATGCGCAGCTTGTTCTGTGCAGGGCCAGGAGAGAAGGACTGTGACTGTGGGTCCACCTGCTGTCGGTAGACAACCCAAGCCCTGGGGCTCTAAGCACTTTCTAAGAAGGTGGACCATTTTGGACCCTTTAAACCAACCCCAAACACCTTATCACAACGTACTTGGAGCCCTAGGGAAGACTATGACAACGTGACAGTTTTTTCATAAGCCTCTTCCCTAAAGCCTTCAGTTCGACCATGGCAAAAAATGGGACAGAACTGGTGTTGTAGTGTAAAATCATGTAAAATCCTTAGTAAAACAATGGCTGTTGGAATCCCAGGGTCTTGAGCCCTCGGGTCTGTTCGCCCTCGAGTCCACGAGAACACCAGCTTTCCACTAAAACGGTAAAGAAATGAGGGGGTTGTTGAAATATCAAGGGTCAACATGACCTCGTACCCCAGATTTTCGGAAAAGGCACATATATATTTACTTTGGGTGGTTGGTGATGTAACATAGAGGCCACTCAGGTTCGAGGTAGGTGAATTGGCCTGTTCTCCATGAGATCGGAAGGACGTTTCAACGGTGCTGGTGTTTTTACACGGGCTGCTTCGGAGCTTGCTTCATTGAGAAATCGGGTAGGAGGAGAATTTGTTTAAGAGGTCTTATTTTAAGCTTCAATTGGTGGAGCCGTATTTACGGTCAGTCAGGAGACAACTGGAAGGATTTTGGTTGTGCATCACCGTGTCACATCCATCCAATCCTGTTGGACCGCGATTTCAGCAGCAAATGCGAACATAGCTCTGCACCCATTGATTTGCGAGTGCTTGTGCACTGAGACATGTGAGAGATATGCTTCGAAGCATTGTGCCACCGCTCCGAAACTCGTACTTCAGTACTCCACAACGATCAGAACCAAACCACCACATGAAAATACATTTACTCAAAAGAGCAGCAACAAAAGTCCAACAAACGACACTTCTGTCGACTCCTTTGGGCCGCGTCTCTCGCGCCACGGTTCACCCGCGAGTCCACCACGGCGCTGCGCGCAACAGTCCGGAGGGCAGCGGCCAGTGCCATGGCACCTTGGCGAAACTTGTAGAGCCAAAGTGTGGGGCGGCAAAGACAAGACCGTGGCAACTGCAGTTGGGGACGGGGAATAAAAGGATGAACACTCCAAACACCTTTGGTTGCTTGATTCTATGGATTTTTTCTATACCCTGTGGGGCTTCAGGGTTTGACAGCCTGTATGCCCTCCAACCCAGAGATGAGCGCATTTGTTGATCGGAAAGGATTACTCTTTGGTTGGTTGGTGGTCCAACACAGAGGTCATTCAGCTTAGATTCTAGGGCTACAATTTTCGTTTGGTCACCATTCGTTTCTTTGGAGCTATATTGGCCGGGTAAGGATGCGCTGATCTATAAATCTTGAGGTGCTCCACATTGCTGAAATGTTCATTTATGTTCATGTTCAACCGCCCCAAGCTGATGAGCATTGCCACATATTGCCACAGGAACAAAGGCCTTTTGAACGCCATTGAACACCTTGACCAGGCCCTGCGCGTGGGGCTTTGCCAAATGACCGCACGCAACGACAAGGAGCGGCCGGTGATGGGCCGGGCCGTGGCTGGGATCCATACGGTACACAAAGACTATCCAGACGATTTGGTTTGGGTATAGGCATGTATGGCCTATCAGTTGGGGCAGTTGGGGCGAAGGGGGTCCATGCAATGCAGATATTCCTCAGAGTGTGACCCAGCTTGGACATTGAACTGGCACTCCACTAGCGAGACATCAGGAGGTGCTCATCAGCCGCATCTTCGGCTGACCCGAGATGCTCCGCAAGTAGGACCAAGTCACTGCCAGTCATGCGTCATACATTGCACCAGGGCTGAGGACGTGCTTCGCAGTGTTTCGCTCTGAAAGGAGTCAGCGGTTTTGCCGAACCAAAACTACGAGGTCGGAATGCCTGGGAGGTCTCCCTATTTTGAGACACACCCAATAGAAGTAAAGAGATGGATGGGAAACTCCAATAATTCTTCCAATGGATCCTAACTTGCCTTGTCAGTGGTGGAGGTGAAGGTCGAACTCACCTTCGTCGCGCCAGGGGGTTCATCAGTTCATCAGGCTCGTTGAGTAACAAATTGACATAAATTGACATGACCCAGACCATCCATGTTTGCATGCATGGAATAAAGTTACATCCATTAAAACATTTACCCCATGAACATGACCCCCAAATATGTCGGTCACTCTATTCAGTCTCACACCGGACCGCAGCTTCGTTTTTTTCATGACTGGGCTGCACCATCTATATATGCGGCCTCCGGGCGGCACCAGCGTGTTCCGGGCGAGCTCGATGCCCGTGGGTTTTCCGTGAGGAGATCAACTTCCAAATCTGCCGAGATCTCGTTTCGGAAGCCGCAAGCCAGGCGAGGGCGAGTCGTCGAGGAACCGGAGGAAGCGCGGTGGAACCGGGTCGCGGGGTGAGGTCGAGGGGAGCAGGTCATCCGAGAAACGGTCGTGCGCTGACATCGTTGGACTGGACGTTGCAACAAACACTATAGATACTCAATGAGGTTTTCAGGACCAGGTTTAACATAGTTTTGCTGTGTCAGAGTGGACTTAGAAGGGGTTTTGCTGTGTTCCAGGCAGATGTGTCGTACATGGAATCACCAGCGATAAACGTCACATGGATGCACGGCAAAAAAAACTGCTGCTCACGACTCTTGATGGAAGTATCCTGCCCCACCGGGTGTGTACTACTTTTGATATCGATTAAAGGGATGCTTGGTCCGTTTCTGTACTACGTTCATATAGCAGGATGATCACAACCGATCCATTCCTTCTCCCAGCTGGTCCAGGAGTTCCTCCTTCATTGCCTCACAAGAGCTGGATTCCAAGTAAGGGCACCCCAACGCATTTCTATGTTGAACCATGCCAACCATCCCACAGAACACCGCCCTCCTGCCTTTCAAAACACCTATCACCGCTCACCGCGTCTTCCGGAACTTCCAGAACTCCCCACGCCAACCCACCACCTGCTTTCTCCCACCGCGCTCCCACGCGGGGTTGGCCAACCGCTCAGTGCGGAGGGCTGCACGTTGGTGGCGCTGCCCGAGTGCTTCGCCTTCATCGGAGCTCAGAAAGGTGAAGCCCAGGCCGCCGCCGAAGCCCTCGAGGGGCCCACCATGCACCGTGCCTTGGTCAAGTGGACCGGAGACCGTGAACACGGCGGAGGTGTCGAAAGGGGAGAAGGGCGTGGCAGGAGCATGGAGGTTCTGATTTGCACTGAAAGAAAGATCTCGAAATGTCTTTTTGTTGGGAGAATTCTAACGTACGGAACTATAGAGATGAATATTGACTCGCCTGTTCCTGGGGTGTTGATCATGTTGATGATTCTAGAGGTCTATAGAGGTCTGGTATGGACATGTACGGACATTTCGACCATTCTGCTGTGCCAAATGAGTTGCTGCATCCTGTGCTGCAACGACATGCCAATCCTTCCCTTCAGATCCTCTCAGCGCACCCGAGGCTATTGCGAGTTGGCGAAGGAGAAGCAGCTGTGGCTCTCTTTGGGAGGCGAGGATCAATCGATTACATCGCCATCCCAGGCGATCATTCGATGGGCACACAAAAAGGCCAACAGTGGTGGTGAAGCGGGTGGTAGGTCGTGTGTAGTGTAGGTCATATTTGCACCAGCGATCAATGAGAGGGCAGTGGTGAAGTGTATTGGCCCCAAAACAGCCATGTCGTTGTGTAGATCTGATTAAGATTTGCAACATTATTCAGCTTGACACCTGGGGGTCTACTTCTTGGAAGACATACTGTACCCATTTCGCCAATTTTTTGGAATGTGGACGCCGCCCGAAGTGGTGGTCGGAAGATTAAGCAAGGTACTTCTTTCTATGACTGCTCGATCAAGTGCCTGTGATTCGATGGGGTGCTAAGACCACCGTGATGAAGAGGACAACATGTTGATGGAACATGCAGAGTGATTCATGGGTGTTAGGAAAATAGTCTGACTGCATGTTCTGAATCTCAGTATTTGCTCGTCCAACGAACTGTTCGCAACCCACGATTAACCGCATGATTGATTGCATGTCACCACATCCCAATCATGTGCACTTGGAACATGTCCACGGAATATCGATGTTGTGCCACGTGCCTTTGTACTCAACTTTGTGGTATCACCAAGTCATTGAGACGTCGACTTTGTGAGATGTCGAGGCTTTCAGGAGAAGGTGGAGGGCGAACCGGACGACAAGAGTCTTGCCAAGAGATGGATTTATAGGGATCGCTTTGCCAGATGCGTTCACCGGATGGTGGACTTGTGTTCACCCGGAGCCCGAGCGTTGAACGGCGGCTGTCCATGGCACTGAAAGGGTTCACAGCCCCCGAGAACTCGTGGGAGCTGAAAGAACCTGTGATCCAGTGAATATGATCCAGTCAAGTCTGAATGAACTGTTTGGTTCTGTGGGAAGTACAAGGCTTTATATTGGCTTTATATAAGGTTTAGCAAACAAATATAATCAAATATACATAATATATATGTAATCCAACTCTATAAATATTTTATAATGCATATGTTGTGTTACTTTGACCGGCGAAACAAAGCGCTCCGTAACATGTGAACGAATCTGGCGCTATAGGTCGCTCATTGCCTTGAAACGCATCATGGATACTCCACGCCCTGCAATCATGTGTCTTGAGGGACTCCTGAAATCAACTACCTCTGGCCGTTTTGGAGGGCGTCAGGACCCATCCGCGACACGGTCCCATCTGTGACCGGGAATCAAAAGCGCGACCGAGATCCGTATAGAGCTCCGTAGAGGGTAGCTTCTTGCTCCGTTCGTCGCGACGCTCGTAGCTTCCGTTCGTCGCTTCTGGTTCCTTTGGTCGTGTCCGGTTCGCGCTCGCTCTGGTGCGTTCCGACGGTCGGATGTCACTCCTGGTGTCCTTCGGCCGAGGATTCTCAACACTCACGTGATCGTGAACTCCTTGGGCGAGATCGCGTCCGTGTATCGCACCTCGCTGACCTTGGATGAGAGTCGATGAGAGGTTTTCACGCCGGGGTAGAAGCATGGGAGAGTGGCAAACGGCGACCAGGGAAAGGTGGATGACCTTTTTCAGTGTTTTTGGATGGATTGGTTTACCAAGGGGTACCATGGTTTACCATGATTTACCCACTAAACAATGTTAACGGATTAATATAAATATTGTTAACTGTCAACCTATATGATGTATTCTGGGAAAGCTGAGGGAGTCAGACCAGCACGAGTTCGTGAGTGGCCCATTGCCCATGACTCGTGGTTGGTGGCCGTGCCTTTCAGTGTGTATGGACAAATTGCCAATGCAAATTTCACACATTTGGGGAGCTATGGGGGGTGAGCTTGGTTTCAGGACAGGAAACAATGGAGGTTTCCCGGCTTCCCTTCTTCATTTGCCATATTCAACTGGTGTGGACAGTTATTTGTCCAACCTGTGCCAGACAGAATAACAAGCGCTCAAAATTCTGTTTAGAGAGGAGGACCAAGGCAACTGCTGTTTGACCATTGTCTCCTGTGAGGGTGCCTTCAATATCAGCCACAAACGGTCGCAAGAGGACGGTCATTCATGATCATTTTCCTCAATCAGACGTGACGCCAGCGTGGTTCTTGTGTTTTCATAGAAGTTGTTCTACGGGAACATCTCCAGGAAAATAGATTGTTCTCCAGAAACAATGATGTTCCTGTAGAAACAACAACTAACCCAGACACTCCATGTATGCCATATATGCCTACATTGGCATATATGACAGAGATGGAGTGTCTGGGGATGTTTGCTCGGTCAGGCAACCACCCCGAAAAGCTGGGATCCTTTCAGGCATGCTCACTCTCCTTCTAGCATACAGCAGCTGCCACACTATGCCACAATCGCCTGGTAGAGTCAACATGAGGCAACCATTCACCTGCTGAAGGTCCACCTGTGCCTATTCCTGGCTGTTGTTCCACCCTTCACCTGGTGTCCCAACATACCCAAAAAACCAAAAAGACCTCCCACCCTCGAATCAGGTGAATCGTAACCTGCTGCGTCCGCCATCCCCGGCCATGCCTTGTGAAGAACCAGCCTTCTGCGGCCACTCTCCACCCGCGTTCTGCGGACCGACCGGACCGAACCGGCTCGGCTGTAGATCATTCCGCGGCACCGGCTCGGCCCGAGGCAAGATCCACCTCTTCGATGCACCGTTTACCGGTCTGGTGGAGTCGCAGCAGACGGTCGCCGGGACGGAGGCCCGGGTCGGTCGGACCGGCCGACCGTCGCAGGTCGAACGGGCCGAGCGTCCACGGGGCGGTGCATGAGGGTGTGGAGTTGAGGCAGTTGAGGTGCTGGCGTGGAGGAAAAAAACATACACGGTGCTGGCGTGCGGGAAAATGGTGAGACATGGTGCCAACACATGGTGTATGCCAAAGTGGGAGATGATTGATGTTCGGTGACAAACGGTTAAGTTTTGAGATCTTTTGAGGTGTACTGGGTATACTGGACCTGCCTGAAACCAAGCCAGAAAGCAAGCATCAAGCCACAACCCGTTCCGCCCTATGTTCCGCAAATATCACATCTTGTGGGTACAAGATCTATTTACAAAATTTGTAATACGTTATGACTTGACATAAATAATTTGTAGTAATCCATACTGCTTTTCCGAAGCAAAACGACTCTGTGACTCGACCTTCCCAAACCCAGCGCGGTACGCATCGCCCAACCCAGCGCACCATCTCCAGGTCGTTTCTTGCGCAAGCCCCGTGGGACAGCTGGGCGTCACCGTGTGCTACGACGTTCGATTCCCGGAGCTCTACCAGAAGTTGCGCTTCGAGCACGGTGCGGAGCGGCGACTGGGCCGTGCCGCACGTGGGTCCACCCACGTGCGACACGGCTAGCGACCGTCAGGGGCTCCCAGGGTTTGGTCCTGGAGTAGCAACAAAAGCCGCCCAATTAGGGCTGCGCAGCCTCCAATGACATAGTTGGGTCCACTGTTTTTGGTGCAATGTGTGTTTCAATGCTAACTACCTTCCACCCTCTACATGCAATTTTGATGGGGTTGGAGTGCCACCAGTCCTACCAAAAGTTGCTCTTATGCCTCTTGGCTGATGCTGATCCTGACTGATCACCTGATGATGGAGAGTGAATAGAGCTCTTGCAGCAATTAGGCTCATAGTTGGTGATTGCAATGAATCTGAACTCCTCATTGACACCAACTGTCCAGGTGTAGTTTGATGCTCATCCTGCATTGTGGAATCCTCCCCAAATCACCCAGAATCCCGAAACCACTCTCAGAAAATTCTATATATAAACGTTTCATAAAGCCCGACCAAAAGAAAAGGCAACTCCTTTAAGCTCCCAAAGGGGGTCACCCATAATCCCTCTATTCATAACCCCCCAATTAATTTGGTACTGTATCTCCCTGGCCTTGGAACATATTATACCATAGTTCATGAATTGCTCAATCAATCAATCAATCAAACAATCAATCAAACAATCAATCAATCAATCTGTCTATCTATCTATCTAGCTATCTATCTATCTAGCTATCTAGATGCCTCTCTCTAACTATCTATCTATCTATCTGTCTGTCTGTCTATCTATCTATCTATCTATCTATCTATCTATCTATCTTCAACTTCCCAAACGCCTCAATTGTCCTTAAATCCAATAAGCTCTTCTCCTCCGCCTCTCTGCATCACCCCCGATTAAGGTCGAATTGCACTTTTCTGAGCCGTCCCCAAACAGCAAACCTTCTGGGGGGGGGGGTAAAAATCCGGTGTCGACATTATACTATAAGCAATTGGTAGTCGATCGAAAGGTCGACATAAGGCCTATTATGTTTGTGTTCGCGAAAGATCTGCGAAGGATCCTATTATCTCTATGATAAATTATATCCTTCATACTTCCTTCACTGAGGAGGAGCCTAGATTCCTGAATTTCGATGCAGTCTTTAGGCTTCAAGCTCCCTCACATTGGTGATTTGTCTTGTTCATGGCTCCTAAGCACAGTCAGTCATCAGTGGATCTTTTGTTGTTTCGCTTTGGGCCTAGAAACCCGCCAATGACGCGATATTTTTTGGCGCAAGATTTGCGAAAACATTGGCGAATGTGAAGGCCTGTTTTGTGGACCCCTGCCCAAGCCGAGCAGCGAAAGATATGAAAGACCTAGCAAGACATGAGCATAACAACCGTTGATAGTGCGTATATATATATATACTAACAGCAGAACAAAGATGGTGCTCGTCCAAAATTTCGATCGAACATGGAAGTGCTTAGGCTGCTATGTAGAACCACTAAACCAAGAAGATTTCTAGAGGTTATACTCCCCGCGAAAGTTTAACATGGAGTGCGCGAAAGATTTGCAAAATTAATTTGTTTGGCAAAGAACGGCCTTTCAGCAAGAAGGAGTTTTGAACCAGCTCGATGACAAATACTGCAGAGCACCGAGCTTGCACTTGCAAGCCTCTCAGAAGGGCTTTCTTTCGCTTGTGCTTCCCCGCTTCGCAGGAGATTTTGTTGGTGCCTTCAGCCTTTTCCATGCCGACGGGCCGAGCGCACTGGGAGCTACTGATGCGAACCAGAGCGGTCGAGACCCAGTGCTATGTCATCGCAGCAGCACAGGCGATCTCCGTGAACCACGGCGTGGGTTTGCTGCCTGTTGAGCTGTTGAGCAAGTGGGTTGAAAGCTGAGTTGGTCAAAAGCAATCATTGAACCATCAGATCATATTACCGATCAATAAGATCAATCCTTATAATTGGTCTTCAGCACTCGACACCTGACTGTTTTGTTGTTTTCCAGTCCTTGGAAAGGGTTGCCAAGCAAATCTGCAGTTCTGCAGGGTTCCACGGGACATATGTGCCGTCAGGCAGGTCAGCACAATGAGGACGGCAACAAGCGCTGCTCCTGGGGCCATGCCATGGCGGTGGATCCTTGGGGCAAGGCCAAGGGGACAGGGGAGCAAGATGAACGGTGCCGGCACCATGCCTGGGCCTGTTTGATAGGTGCCCCTTTGATGGGTCCTTAGATGTCCTTCGGATTCCTTATTAGGCATTGTTTTTTCGGTATTGTCCAGACATGTCGTACCGTATGTACATATTCTGGAGACACTGAGTACCTCTTCATACCTCTGACTTTCACCATGAAAGGCGCCGACCTTGATTGTGGCCGAACGCAAAAGTCCCACATTGCTTCCTAGAGAGGTTGAACAGCCCCATAGCCCGTCCCATATGTACCACTCCAGGGTCCTACTTCAGGTCTCTCAACCTCTCCTGGTTGGAGGTGGCACCTCCCACCACAGTCCGCACCTCCGCAGGTTCTGGCGGAGTTCGACGGCAGCTCCACGGGCGTCCGAGTCGTGGAGGTGGACCAGAACGTGTTGCAGGCGCGAAGCGATGCGCGAAATCGCCGTGGGCTGGAGGCCATCGCTCTTAGGTGTGAGGCCATCGCTAGTAGGTTGGAGGCCATCGCTCTTAGGTGTGAGGCCATCGCTAGTAGGT